AAGTCGCACTTCAACCAGTTCGCGAAATAGTTAAACGCCCCATGAGGGCGTCCATGAGAGCAATTTTTCTCCATCCTAGCGGCGGCGGCGCTATTGGCTTTGGATTGGTGGTTAGATCATAGAGCTATTAAACAACTAGAGTGCTGACAAGATGGTGAAGCAATGCAGAGTTATGTATGTGTACCATCCAAGATGGCTGCCGTACGAAAGCGCCGCCTTCATGCTTAGTATAAATTATTGCCTTAAATAAGCCCTCTGACTCACTATTATTTCATTAATGATAATTAGTAATGATGATAACAAATTATTAAACTATCGTAGCCAAAAAAAGGCTAAGTGGAGCATCTTATTGAAAAATAAAGGAATGAAAATTAAAATCGTGTACATTACTCCCATCCACCGCAACGCTGAGTTTAACATACGGGTACTAGCTAAACTGAACTTTCTGAGTAAATTGAGCACACACACACACACACACACACACACAGTTCTGCGTATTTCGAACATCGAATACATTGCAGTTAGTGCTCTAGTATTCTTATTATATCTGGGATAACTCTGGTTCGTTTGCTTTCATTAGATTTTCCACTCTATGAAATAAATTTTCCTCCATTCTAGAGAGGGCGGACGTTCCATTTAATTCTGTGTTCTTTGGTCTCTTATGGAGAAGTTACATGTGTGTATGTTTGTCTTGTGAAAGGGATTGCCACTTACCTGGGGATTTACAATTGTAAGCTTACAGATTATCTTCATTATATTTCATAATATATTTGTATAAATACCATACATAATTTAACAATATCCAATCATAAGTGATTTCAATTCTTAAAAATGATTAAATTACATTTCTTAAAACACTTAAGGTTAAACACATGCTTAAAAATATAGTGATGTATTGTATAGTTTTGTATCAATATCTAGTATTTTGAAAAGTATTCATTTATACTCGTTAATACTTACAATTCTTGTTGTCTCAGGGGCGGATCGAGGTTTACATTTAGGGTGGGGGGGTGTCAGACTTTTTTTCATAAAACGCCGAAAAACAGGGAGGTCCAGTAGTCCTCCCCCGCGAAATGATTGATTCTTAGATGGCGGGAAATGAGCTTTCCAGACTTCAGAGGTGTCTCTTTTAATGACTTTTGAGTTCCTTAAAATTCAAGATTTTCCCCCTCTTGAAAATGGTCAGGTAAACTTTCTCATTCTTATTACAGTAAATAGGCCTATTTATGTGTGTATGTATACGTACATTAAAAAAACTGAGTAGCTACATATTCTTTTTCCCATGAATAATAGGGTGTCTCCCTGGGAAAATTCTGATCACTAGATGGCAGGAAATGAGCTTTTCCGACTTCTGTGGTGTCTTTTAATGACTTCTAAGTTCTTCAAAATCTAAGGTTTCCCCCTCTCGAAATGGTCAAGTAAACTTTCTCATTCTTATTACAGTAAATAGGCCTATTTATTTGTATACGTACATTAAAAAAAATTGAGTTGCTTACGTATTCTTTTTTCCATGAATTGATAACCCCAAAGAGGAAGAGCGGTCCGGGGGTCCTCCCAGGGAAAAATTTGATCACTAGATGGCAGGAAATGAGCTTTCCCGACTTCTGAGGTCTTTTAATAACTTTCAATTTCTTTAAATTTAATACCTTTTCTCCGCTTGAAAACGGTCAGTTAAACTTCTCATTCTTATTACTGTAAATACTAGCAGCCCTACTAATGTGTGTATGTACAGTACATAACAAAAATTAAATCGCTGCATACATATTCTTCTTTCAATAAATCGATGAACCCCAAAACGGGGGTCGGGAATCCTCCCCGGGAAAATTTTGGTTCTTAGGTGGCGAGAAATTTTTCCCGACTTCTGAAGTGTCTTTTAATAAAAATTTAAGGTTTTCCCCTTTTGTAAACAGTCAGGTAATTTTTTTCTCATTCTTATTACAGTAATTAGGCCTATGTGTGTACTGGTACACAGAGAATTTTTTTTTCAAGGTGTGGGGAGGGGGGAAGGACCCCTGACCCCCAATGTTGTTTATATCAAAAAGTAATACTATTGAAAATAATAACAATATAGTAGAATACAATAATACTGTCTATACAGAACTGTTCATATGATACTGACAATACCTGATTACTGATAGTAATTTAGAATTAAAACAACACAAGAACTGTTCTTAATTCAGACAGTAATCTTTTTCATAGTTGGTATTTTTTAGTTCAGATTAAAGTCCACCATATTTTAACACCTATAACTGCAGTAGCACACAGTTGGTTGAAAAATATAACATTTAAAACTATAAAACATATCCATAAAAATATGAAAAATTGCATAATACTGTATGGCAAGATAATTTAGATATACAAATACAAGATACAAGGTTCCTCACTTTATAAACACTTACAAGTAAAATTTGTTTTCCTGATTCTATTATACAAAACTTTAGTACAAATGACAAAAAAAAGATAAATATATTATATACAAGATGAGGTAACTGTACAAAAGCTGAGGCAGATGTAAAAAAAGTGGGGGGGGGGTGGTGTGGAACGGTGCGAATTGTATTAAGAAAAATAATTGTATTGTATTTTTAAAATATTATTTGAAAATCATTGAAAATATAGTACCAGTAAGATTTTAAAAGTATGAGAGTGCAATTTATTGAGGTTCATATTCTCAAAAATTTCTAACCTCAGCCCAACCATGGTGGGGCTGAGGTGGTGTGGATTCTCACGCACCCCCTACCGCCAAATCCTGCATCCACCCCAAAAAAGTTATTGCAAAAGGATAATTGTCTCTCAAAGCAGCATTGTAGATATATACTAAGTTGTGAGTGAATGAATTTCTTAATCTATTAGTACTGATTTTAGGGTGTAGGCGACCAAACCTGTTAAATGTGCATTCATGATACATTGTAGGGTGTGCAAGGCATTTAATAATGATTTATTATAGATATCATCAATGCTGTCAATTTCGGGTCCAATGACTTGACAGGCCGATTTCAAGATCCTCGAGAATTTTACTGTGATTATGTTTAGTTAAATTTCCAAACCTTAAAATACGGTTACTAATTAAAACACATAGAATAACACTTTTTAAGGAGAGCATTAAAACTTCTGGACTGGCCTTGAGAGACTAAATTTTGTGCAAGGAGAATAAACATAATACATAGAATATAATAAACTAAATAGAATAAAGTAAACACACCCACTGTTACCACTAAATACTAAATACTAGATGGGATACTTATGATTGAATATGTAATCAAGTATTCTGGATACACTCTGGTATTGTCAAAAACTACAAAAATACTTGGAGTTTGTACATTGTCAACACAGGAATCAAACATCCCTAAAGATTTATTTGAAGGGTCTTTATATGGTGGTCTGCGCATGTTTATTTCACCTGAGGTGTAGCTACCAACCAGAACTCGTGCTACAAACATCCTCTTCACTTCGTCACTGTCGGCCATTGCATACGAATCAGAATAACTCGCGCATCTTGAGAAGTAAGCACCATCACCAAAAGCAGCACCACATCGCGTTCCACTCAACCGAAAATCGAAATTATCTCGACAAATATCTTCAATATTTATTTTGGTAGTCCCATGGAAGAGTTGACGCTCTTCGACTGGTTGAAAGGAATTTTTTTTCATCATAACTTCTTGTTGCCTTTTGAGAAAAAAAATCAAAGATAATTTGTTTTTATTACATAAATTAGGCAAACGGATTAAATTAAATTAATTTCAGCTAATTTCCAAAATTATATTTGTAAATAACAATATGCTGGGTTAATACTGCTGGGTTAAACCTCTATTAAAGGCACACCTTTGGGACAAAACAAAGTGTCCCCTTAATAGGGGTGTCCCCTGAATAGGGGTTGACTGTGGTGTTAAAAGATATGTGGAAAAGACAAGCCAAACCAGTCACTGGTCACAAAAATTGATTTTTAGTTATTAATACAGGGGTTAAACAGTAAAATAAGAGCCATAGAACGGTTAAAAAATCAATTAAATCTGACAGTTTGTTATGAAGTTACAAGAGTTTAAACATACAGCGCTTTAAAGAACAATATTTGAGAAAACCTTTAAAGTTTATGATTTCAGGCATTTCTCAGGCATAAATCATTACCAAATCGTAAAAAAATGTTGTTTTAACATTGAAAATGAAGAAAATAAATGCACAGCATAATATATAGAGGTTAATTTAGTGCAACAAAAAAGATTTCAAAAATTTTGACATTCCAGCATGTTTTGGCATTATCTCTGAAACATGATTTGCGACGAGCAACTGGTTTGGCTTGTCTTTGCCACCTATTCTTTTCCTCAATTTGCAGCCAAATCAGTGTTCCCTTCTAAATAGGGGTGTCACAAAGGTTGGGTTGTACTGTACATAGCGGTATTATTTCGATTAAGATTGCTAGTCATTCTCTAGCATAAGCCTGTAAATGGCTTTGCAACCAAAAGGGAGGCCACTAGTTGTAGCTTGGAGGATGCTTGCTGCACAATTCCATGATCCTGGGTAGAAGAGCAAGGATTTTACTTAAATTCTTGCGCCAATGGTGGTCGACCAACGTGATTCTACGTGAGCTTGCATTCTAATATTTTGGATTGTTTACAGTGTTTACATTAAAAACCTCTGAGGAATACTATAATATACAGTACATACGATATCTCTAGGTCAACAATGGCATTTTATCATAAAAAAACAAAACCATATCTTGCAATATTGAGTGGGGGTGGAGTATTGTTTTATCTCAGAAATGAGTCAAGGAGACTTTATTCATCGCATTAGAGGGAAATTACATTGCAGATATATTCCCAATGTGAATTATTAGAAAATAAATTTAAAATTAACTGTTGAATATGCTATAACTTAAAATAACTAATGAAAATGGCCAGTATTAATTGCATGTCATCAATTCAGTACTAACAACAAACCTTGTCTACATACGCATACGTACAAAGAATTTCATACGAAAAGCTCAAAGACTAGACCGGCCACACAATATTTACTATTCTTTGGTAAGCATATTAATAAAAAATAAGTGCTACTAAAATATTGTACCGTTTAAATGCTTCCCAGCATAGCTCATTTTGTACCCGCTCGATTATTGTGATATTTCCTCTTTTAAGGGTCTTCTTAAACAAGCTCTCTATATTCTTGTATTCTTCTCCGTTCTTAAATAGAGTTACAAGTCGATATGATGTTGTTCGGATGCTCATATCCCAAGTCTTTGGATATTTGATGTTACTTAGCCTGGAAATAACGTAAAATTGCAAGATTTAAAGATGTCAAAAATACAGGAAAATACATACTAAATTTATAAGCTCATAAATCAAATAAAATACTGGCTTCCAACAAGAAACAGATTGAAAAAAAAGCAGTTTCACCAATACAGACATTTTACTACAAAACTCCTTAAATTTATTACTAAAAGCAAATGAACACAAAAAAGATATTATTCTACTGTCCGAAAATTAATGGGGGAGTTTTTTTTTTAAATAAAATTTTTAATTTTAAGTATAATAACTTTACTTTCATATACAAATTAAGCAATTCAAATGCGAAATTAAAATTTTCAGTTTTTTACCTCATGACTGATATAGTACATCTTTAATGTCAAAGGAAAATGTTAATATCAAAGGAAAAAAGATGCCTTTATACAGTATTATTATGTACATTCACAAATGTGAATTAAAAAAAAAAAAAAAATTAAATTACTTTTATATTTGCTGTCAACATTGTATGTACTAACTACTGCTAAATCCTTTCTGAGCCACTGGGGCTCATAGGGCGGGAGCTTATCCCCAGTTTCTGTAGTGTGAAGCGGATGAGAGATGTACTCCCCCTGGACGGACACTAGTCCGTCGCAGGTTAGTCCCCAGCAGTTTGCTGGCACCCGTTGATACAGCTGGGTGGACTGAAGCAATGTAGCTAAAGTGCCTTGCCCAAGGACACGAGCGAATCTGCGCAGTGGAGACTCGAACTTCCGACCTTACTATTGAAAGCCCAAACATCAACTGTTGCGCCAAACTGCCGCTCAAAATTGTATGTACTTGGTCACTACCATGACCACCATCACCATCATTTATTAGTACCATCATCAACATTCTGATCCTCATTCACCCAAATCAACACTTTCATAATTCACCAAGACCACCCTCTTCCTACACCACTGCCACTGTCATTGTCATCATTCATACACCACATCCACCAACATCAACCATCTACCACAGCACCATCATGAGCCCAATAACCAGTGGCGGACTGTAGGGTAAATTGTAAGGTATATATTACATGCTATATGCTAGCATGTAATGTATGCTAGGGGATGTCAATGAGAAAAAGTTTTCTAGTGGTAAAAGTTTGATCTATGGTCAAACACAAACGGATGTTCTCTTTTTTTTTTTTATACCGTGCCTGCATGTTTGTGGATTCTTATCAAAACGTTTCCTATTAAAAGCCTGTACGTTGTAATATGGGTAATGATAAGGAAGTACTTTTAGACTAACTTTCAAGATATAACTAGTATTACTCCTTTTACGCTACGCAGTAAAAGCATAGCCTCCCCGCGGTGCAATTTTGTCCAGTACAAAATGTTATGAATTCTGAAAATATATAAGCATTTTGAATTTGAAATCAAATCAGCCTCTGACATGGCCGGTGGAATTACAGGTGAAGGTATCCTCACACTTCCCTTGACTCACTGAATAGGTGATTGGCTGGTGTTGAAAAAACCAACCATGCAGAAATTCTAAGCAGCTGATATGATGATGACTCAGACAAAAGATTACATGACTATATCCTATATACCAAAGTAGGCCTGAAGATTGAACAACTAATAATATTATTAAACTTAACCATTCCAATGAAATGTAGTACAGAAGATTTTGGTTAAAAATTGCTAAATACTACAGAGAAAAATAAATATTAATATATTTTTTTTTTTAGTTTTCTCTTAGGTATGCAGTGCATATTGCACCTTGATGGTTCAACCACTGCCCACAACTCATAATCCCCACCACATCATTTGTACATTTACCATGATCATCCAAAGACATTTAAAAGTATTTTGATTATTGATAATTACGTTCATCATCATCACAGCCACCATCATTCACGAAATTACGCACATAGGAAAAAAAATTCTTAATAATATTTCTATAATATTTTAAGATTTCTACAAATCAATAAACAAATATACCATTGCATACATTATCATTGTTTTTAATATTTTTAAATTCTAGATTGTGTACAGAAGTATTGAAATACAAGATTTCCATCTTACCAAGGTTTTTCTTCTCTGCATCTCTTCATATCAACAGATGTTAGGTGCATGGATGGTCTTCGACGGACACCTTTGACTGTATGGTGTGTAGTATTGCTTTGGGTCATAGATTTAAAGTTCAAAATGTACTGTTGATCTCCAGCCCTAAATTTGACATCTGAACTACCATTGTGGTTTTTGTATGCATCAAACAAAGCTTCAAAATTTGAGCTATTAAAGTCAGATCTTGCATTTCCTTTGGTATTCTGAAAAGAAGGATGTATATCACATAATTTGAAACAGGAACAGAAATATTTTTTATATACTGTATACTAAATTTGAAGGCTTATGAAGGAAAAAAAACATTATGCTGATTGAGGGTGGGAATAAAATATTTTTTTTACAGCCTAGGGCACATGACAGTGTGGTGGTGGTTGGTGACCCTGACCTTCTCATTGGTTGAATTTGTTTAAATAACTTAAAACATAAAAAAGAATAAAATTATATATAAAAAAAGGCCACTTTTGCAAACATAAATTGGCACCATGAACAGCATTCTGAGATGGAAGACTTTATAATTATTATTTGCATAGATATACAGTAAGTAGTAGGAGGGACATTTTGCCCGACCTAACACGTTATTGTACTGAATAGTCAGTACGTTCCCAAATACTACAAGTGATTAGGGTGGGACACACAGGTAGGGCACAACACTCCTATAATAGTCAAAATTATTATTTGTAGTTTTTGGTACAGTAACTACCTGTTTCGCATATTCAACCCAGGCACCACATTCATCCTTCCAATACCATGACCAATGAGGAATCAAGTATGGGTCGGAAATATCTGGTTCGCCTCCCACCTCCAACCGCCGTATCTTGATAACCAACGAACAGTCAGCGTTACAGATAGACATGTCATCATAGCACAGTTTCATAACTCCCCTTTGAAAAATAGTATATATTATTGTGAAAATTTACAATCAAGAATCCTAAAGCCCTGTCCAAGTATTATTTGACAAAAACATATGGCATGCCTCAATATGGTCATGATGACATCACATCATGACCATATAAAGGCACATCATGACCATATATAGGCACATCATGAGTCTGACTATATATGGAGGGCATACAACAGTTGTTTGTCAAAGAAAAGTTAATAATCTGGACAAATGCTGTCAGTTGGCCAGGTGGGCTTAGTATTATTTTAAACCAGAGCACTGTGTGTGCCAAGGTTTCAATGCAGCCATTGGTAAAATATTGCATTTGTACCGTAAGAAACCCATGAACCAATTTCAAGATATAGCACACCTAGTGTAGATGCCTGGAAATGAGTGAAAACTTGATTTTCTTTATAGCTGGACTGTACTCCCAAACAAACTACTGCCAAGTCCAACACCTTGATTGAGTGAAGGCTCCTCACGCTTGACAAAAATGGCCTCTTTGAACCCCTTCTTTTTCTAAGGGCATGTAGAGTAATAGGGTGAGGTCGTGTAGTGGCAGTGCATAATAAAGTAGTATTCAGATATGTGGGGGAAGCAATATGACCAGTCATATAAGAGAAAGAAAAGGGAGAGCAATGTGGTTGCTTGTATGAGACTAAATATTTGTTTTCTGTTTTTAGGGTAAGAGAGTGCCCAATGCCTCATCTCTTCCTTTATATTATTATTAGTTATTATTATTATTATTAGTTTTATTATGCTTGATTTTGTTCTGTTAGTGTGGATTCTGTTTGGAGAGTCACTTGATAGTTTTCACCTTAAACTTTTTGACAATCCTTGGATGGCAGGTTTCCACCTCTCTTTGTCTTTATGTTTCATCCGAAAATAAAATTTGATTTGATTTGATTTGAAGTAGTTGAAATTAAAAAAACATTAGTAGCTGACTGACTGATTAGTAGCAGAATCAAAACTTACCAGGTATCAAAATACAAAGTTGCCTCACTGTTCACATCACAGAATTTACTTTCCATACTACAATTTCTAATAGAATTCACACTTTCCCATCTTCCATTATTCAAAACTTGCCACTGATAAGGAACATCACAGTGATGTCTTTGGCACCATCTCTCATTAGTGCACTTTCCCCGAAGATTCAGTTTGCAAATTTCTTCTATCTTTGGAATTCCAACTTTCAATGGATCATTCTCCATCTCTTTTTTTCGTTTCCTAGAAACTGACAAATAAAGCAGAATTTTTGTTTATTTTCTAGATAGAATAGAGTAACAACCTACTTAGTAAAGCCTAAAGCCTGAAATTAAAAAATTCTATATCAAATCAGCTCAGCTGTGTGTATTGGTGGTAACTACTGTGCGTGTGCTGAACCATGGAGATCTATTGGCCTCCGGTTCAATTCTCTCCTCTGCTCTCCTGTTTAAGCTGAAGGGCTGAAATGCAAGTTTTAATAAATCAGATGAGACGTTCAAGACATTGGTCACATGTTTAATATGGCCCAAGTACATGTTAAAGAGTAGAGTATGGTCTTCTGTGCCGAACCACTAACAGAAGGACCCCACTGAAAACAAGTCTACTTTAAACTGTTGTGGGTTATCCCTGGTGCTTAAGCCGAATAAATCCAATCCAAACCAACCCAGATCCACATTCTATTATAACTGTAATTGCGGTTGAAGGCATACAAGGCAAATTTAACTTATTTTGAAAGTCCACCAACTGCGGCTGCTTCAGACCTACAATATGTGGATTTCAAAATTTTAAATGTACTATTTACTAATTTAGATGAATACGTATGTATATTTATTAATTTTGTTTACCTATTAGTCTTGTTAAATTATTGCTTTATATGGGATTTAATTTTCACTTTTATTGCTTAACTTCTTCAATTTTGTGAACTAAGGCATACAAAGCAAACTAAATATAATTTTGAAGGACTTACTATTGCTTGTTGAAGAAGATGATGTGTAGTGGCTTGTTGGAGTTGCTTCGAGTGTCCAGGACCCATCAGCATTTTGCTGTTCTACAATCAAAACCTACAAATATTAAAAAGTTTCACTTGTTATTTTGTGTCGGAACTGGCAACCAATGATATACTCAAAATGTAGCATATTGGTAGCATTTAAGTATAATGCTTAGGATAATTGCTCTTAAAGTGCAGTTTACAGTTTTACTGTTTACAGTGTGTCCAGTAATAAACTACGCAACTTGAGATCATACAATTTACAAAGAAATTGAATGTCATGATGCATGGCTATGTCACCAAAGTGGAAATTTTGTATATGAATAAACAGTGGCAATAACCTTGAAGACACTATAGGGTGAAAGAGATGGGGGTAAAAAAACACAAGAATTTGGGACCCTGCTACATCTTGCCATGATAAATTCCAGAACACGTCCTACAGAAAAGACATTTAATTGGGAATGTTAGGATCTACAACACCAAGCACAGCAGACACATTGGTGGTTGTAAATTATCGCAGTTTCTGCACTACACATTTTTTTTTTTTTCACCTAGACCCATCCAATACTTTTTATTATCCACTGTCCAGACTATCAAATAACTATTGTATGCCCATATATAGTCATGATGTGCCTATATATGGTCATGATGTGATGTCATCATGACCATATTTAGGCATGTCACATGTTTTTGTCTCACAAAACTTGATAGTCTGTACATGACTTCAATCATAACAGTTATAGAAAGCGTGAGGAAGTGTTTATAGTTTATGCAGTATATATGGCACGGTCAAGCCAAATCAGTCGCTTTTCAGCGATCTTCAACTGGAGAAACTTAAGCCTAAAGCTTTTATACGTTGGAAATTAAAAAAAATTCGAAATTTATTTTATGACTTTATTAAAAATAAGGCATCTATTAGATTCAATATACATTGACATTTTTCTAATTTTCAATGGTAAAAGAACATTTTTTTATACAATTTACGGAGGTCAATGAAAATGTCAAAAACTTGGTCCATTTTTACCCGTTTAGTTGCACGTTTCTGACACTATGCATGTCTCCATTTTGAAAGCGAATTGCTCCATATTTGGTACCAATGTAAAGGGAATTTTATAGGCTTTCGTGTCATTGGTCAATTGTCATGATACAACTTAAATCAAACCAATTACAACGATTTTAAATAGTGTGAACAATTCTGTTCTTCCTTGACGATGACGCTGAAATAATGTGATTGGTCACTCACATAATGACGTAATACTGAACATGCGCACAGTGACGATTTGATCCCACAATGCCACAGAAAGATCGAAAAATGGCATCATTGGAGCAAAGCTAGGCCTAGTTGTTCTGATTTTTTGTAGTTTCATTAATTTTATAAGTACCAACAATTCAGTGAACAATGATTTAACAATATTTTGCAATTTCAAAATGTTTAGCATCTTCAACTTCACGTTATTAGGCCTAAGTTTTAGACTACCTATCGAGTATCGCTGATCGGCATACATACGAATGTATCACCAATGTTTTCAGCTGAATTTAAACTCAAATAACTTTCAAACCTGTTTTGGGTTACAAAGGAAAATCTGTGTGTTCTATTATATTACTTAGGCCAAATTTCTAGAGCGCTGTATAATGCTATCCCCATTGCTAGGTTGGGTATTCAGTCTAAGCCCATGGAACAAGAAACGTCTCCGTGCTGTTAGCGTCTCAGTGCGTCGGTAAATTTTGAACGTTTCTCCTAAACGTAGGTATCTTTAAACTTCAATAACTTTATAATGAAAACTCGGATTGCAATTTTTTTTTTCACAATTGTAAAAGAGAACACATTACTAAATGATAATATTGTATTATCTCAAAATCCGAATTTCCAACAATCGACTGATTTGGCTTGACCGCGCCACAATATAATTACCATTCCGTGACACAGTCCTGCAGCTTGGAGTGTGCTATTTTTATGTGTAAGCCGTAAAAATTGGGTCATGTGTTCATTCCATATTCGAATATCATCCTTGCCTGGTATATTGAAAGTGTCTCGCACAACATTTTCAAGAGTTTCTATAATACAAATTTAAAATATATTGATGAAATATGCACGACTGATATAAATACACCTGAGCCTAAAGATTGAGCTGAGCAGTTAACTGAGAGATATTAGGGAGCTTTTGATTGCATGACGACAGTAGGACGTAGCACGTAATAACGTCTTTAAAAGTCATCTACGCATGCGAGAACGTTAAGGTCACCTCGTCGAGTAGATTCTGGAATGCGATTTGGCCAAATCTACGTATGCAGAGAAGGTAGGATGGTCACGCATGAGTGATTCTGTTGTGTCGTCGCACAAATCGAAAGCTTCCTATTGTTTCTGCTTCTTGTGCTAAAGACCCTAGTTCAGACCAGGCCAGAGTCCAGTTTAAATTGGTGTCTGATCCTTGAACAACCCTCACATTGAGAGTTAAGTGAGATAAGAAACATGTTTGCATCTGTCAGTTTCATGTTGTAGAAGTTGGGTGGCACTGGACTGCAGCTGCCACAGGTCTCCAACCCAAATTTCCAAAATCATTATATAATATATTATTATCAAATTAAAGATTAATTGACAGTTATTATACATGACTGTTTTGGTAGTTATTTTAAAGCAAGTTGATTCTGATGAAACTGTTACGATCAATCAATCAATCGCAGGGGCGGATCCAGAAGTTTTGGTTAGGGGGGCTATAGGCATATGTGTAAAGTGCCTCCAAGTGCCTTCACTGTCTCTTATACACATCTAGATGTGTATAAGAGACAGTATATATATATATACTTGTATAAAGAAATAATAATGAGTTCAACACAGGAGTGGGTGGATTTTGAATTCCTCCAGAAGTCGAAATTTGTGAAATTCGAATATTGTTATAGTGACTGCATTAAGCTTTCAAAACAATCTGTAGTACTACGTTGAAAACAAACTGAATAAATATACTTGTACAATGGAGCTTTTATTTAGTATCTGTATATAATTGAAGAAGAAATATGCGGTAGACACTATTAAAAATAATAAATGATGCCTAGTTGTTGTTGTCAAGTGCATTAATTATTCATTCATTAAAAAACATTTATTTCCGTAAATGTTAAACGATATTTATAGTAAATCATTATTATAACAAGAATATAATATTCTTGTTATGTAAATAAATTAATAATATGAAAAACGATTAACTAGGATCTTTAATGGCAGATAAAAATATCTTTTCACGTAGGATACTCACAGAAACAACATAA